AATAGTTTTTTCATCAAAATTTTTTCATATGGTAAATCTACTATGTGTTGTTTTCGATCCCAAAAAGCATGTGGATGATCAGCACATAATTCCTTTTCCATAGATTCTTTTAATGTTGTTCTTTTAATGTTGTGATTTTATCTTGTATTTCTTTAGTCTCTAATTAATTGTTGTTTAATTTTGTTTAAACACATATTATTTCTTGCATCTTTTAAATCTTCTTCTCTAGATTTAATTAAAGAATTGATCTCTAATATTTTAATGGAATGAGCTTTTAAGAGATTTAATTGCTTCTTCTTAGGTTTTTCAGTGAATTCTAACTTAACGGTACTATTTCTTATTTTAAATTTAATACAATCTTCTTTAACTGAATATGGTATTATTAGGTTTATAAAAGGGGTTCCTAATATAACCATATAATTTATTTGAGGAATACGGTGTTTATTTCTAAACCTTGGTTTACTATTTGTGCATCTTATTATTGCATCTGTTTTACCTATAATTTCTAGTTTAGATTTATTTGCTGTGCTTAATTTTTCATTAGTTTTTTACCAATATCTTTTAGGAATTAAATCTGATTTTATACAATTTAAATCTGCACCTGTATCAAACAGTGCAATTGCTTCTATATAGAAATCGTTGATTTTAATATTTATTTTTACTAAATATTTTCTTGAAGTTATTTCTTGTAATAAATTTAGAAAATTACTATCTACATCTTCATCTAATTGATTTATTTTTCATCTTTATCTGGTTCTGCTTCATCAGAAGAAGAACTAGAAATAAGTAGAAATAAGTTGAGATTCTAATACCTTTATTAGTTTATCATGAAGTTGAAATTGTCGTTTTAATTCACTAACTTCTTTTTTTTTATTTCTAACTTCATTTTTTAAATTACTAGTGGAATTTTCTGCGTCTACTTTTTTATGCTTATTTTTATTTAATATAGTTGTGAGATCATAAGTATTATGTTGAATTTTAGGAGTGATATCCTCTTTTACTATCTGGGTTTCGTCAAAACTTTTAATGAGTTTTTGAAGGAGTTTAGCTTTAGTGTTTTGGTCATCTATAAAATTTACTACTTCTAAAAGCGTACTTTGATCTTTAGTTAACATATTTATAGAATAATCAGATGAACTAGTTGTTGTACCTAATTCATCAATTTACCCTTTGAAAGTGCCTCCCAGCGGTCTCCCATAAAACCATGGATTTTTCAGCGACCACCCTGGGTACCTCAGAACATGTTTTACGGCATGGGACCCGGCCAAATGCACAGACAGTCACCATATCTTGCTTCACGACAAGGCCAACCCCCCGCGGTGGCTAGCCGCCCGGGGTCTTGGTAAGGTAAGAGCCAGTATTTCGTCACAGGTCATACTGTGAGAACCCTTACTCAAGATTCCGAATCTCATAGCCATCTTGTCTAAGAGGCTTTGATACCCACAAAAGACTATAAAGACTTACAAAAACTAAAGACTAAAGAATTTAAGACTAAAAGACTTTGAACAACAAAACAAAGACTTTGAAAACTAAAAACTAAACACGTTGATACATAAACTTAATGACTAAAGACATTCAAATTGTTTACAAAATTGATCCTAATTCTTTTTTAGTTTTCTGCCATTTCATATTTTATTGTTCTTTGAAGTTTTAAAGTCGATGACAAATCTGGCCAAACCTTTCTTTTTGAATTATACTAATTAATTGACCATAAGTTATTTATTTGTATGGTATAGGTTGACCATATTGTCTGTTTAATATTGTTCTAACTTTTCCTCCTAAGAAATAAGGGAGTCCAGCCAAAACTTTTCTTTCCAAAAGCTTTGAAATTAGAGTCTTCCCTTAACATTAAACCTAGTTTTTAGAAAAAGTTAGTTTTTATATTTCTTGAAAATTACCTAAGTGTTTTACATTTTTAAATTACTAAGTAATTCTGCATTTTTTTTTTTATTATCTTTTAAGTGGGATGGATCCCCAATAAAATTGAAGTGAAATAGTGAGAATTAAAGATTGACACAGCATCCTGAATTACTTCACCATTTTCATCATATATAGGTTCACCTTCATCATTGACGTTGAATTGAATTAAAATTTCTAGATGTTGTTTGTTTCAGTGAGGATGATAGGTCCCACCAACCTTTAAGTTGTCAGTAAATCCAGCAATGCAGGATTTCTGCCAAATAGCTTTATTAGAAAATCAGAAATAATTGACTGCGTTTTATAAGCATTTGCAGCCATGGTCATTTGTTACAAAATACTTAATATATTATATTCACTTAAACCATCTATGTTCCATCATAGATTGTTGAAGCATTATTTTTAAATTGAGATATAATGTTAGGTTTATCAATAATGCCTAAGTCTGGTGCCCTATTTACTATTTCTCGATGATGATTTATAGGATTTAACTCAAATTGTTTAGCGTTTTCTGAGTCAAGTTCGCTGTCATCAGAGTTGGTGTTTTCTTCTATAGTGTTTATATTTCTAGAGGCTTCAGTAGTGTCAGGAGCTACATGTTGATTAGTTGCTGAATGAAAATGAACCTCAAGTTTACTCAATTGATCTTTTCATTTATTTACAAATTCTTGTTTACTTGATTGAGAGATTTGATAAGGTTTAAACATGTGAGTTTTTACAATTTCTTTGCCTTTTATGGTTTCTGACACTAAAGGTTTATCTTCTAGCATATGTTCTATTCGTTTTAATTGTGAGTTTAAACAAATTAAACTTGCATTACATTACAAAAGTTATTTTGTTCAATTATCTTACTATTTGTATCATTAATCTCGAGCGACTTTATATGGTGCGCATATAATTTCATTGTCTTGATGTTTTTAATTTACGTAATTGTTTTTAGGAGGAAAATCACGTTTTTATTTTTGTTCATTTACTATCCATTCTGGTCTTTTTATCACGAATGTGAATTGGATTGTATTACTTTATTTCAGTATTGTTTCTCCTTAATGAGGGTTATACCAATCAAAAAAATTTTAATTTTCAGTTGAGTCTATTTAATTTATAAATCTAAATATTCATATTTTTAATTCTTCGAAAGTTATAAGTTTTTAATATCTTTTTATTTTTATTAAATTCCTTTAGTTTTTAGATATTTCTTTTATTAAAACTTTTTTCAATATCTCATACTAATAACATTTAATTCCGGTTTATATCCACTAACCATTTTCAGTTTTATAGCTGAAGTTGTTGGTTGATTCTGGAGCCAGAATTAACCAAGTTTGACTGTTGATTTACATAATTATCTACAGGATTTATAAACTGCCTGCTGGGGATAGAATGACTATAATCAAACTCCTTTACATTTTATTTGGAATATCCGAAGTTGGGAAAATACCTAGGTGTTTAACAAAAGCTGAATAATAGGTTTAAGAATAATAGGTTTATGCTCAGGTTCTTTATATTTAGCATAGATCACAGAAGGTATAGAGGAACTTGGTTTATCATTGTCATCTGTTGTCACAGAAGATGACCCTGTATACCTCATACTTTGACTACGATTAAATTTTAATGTTATTTTACCATCTTCAAATTGTTCAATTTTTTGTAAATTGACATTTGGTTTTACTGGTTCTGGAGCAGGGGGAGGTACAACCCCTTCTAATATCCATTCATTTGGAAGAGTAATATCTTTCCATTGAATAGTTTTAGGGATTACCGTGTTTGTTTTAGTCAAATCAGTTTGTAGAAATCTCGTTTCTCCAATTTTTGGTTGTAATTTATATTTAGTTCCAAATGCTGAATTCATAGCTTTATAATGAATTTTATAAATTAAAGCGATGGGAATAGATCCTTGCTTCATTTTATAATTATGAGTTTTAATTTCTAAAATAATACTTTCTAATATATTTAAATCATTTAATGAGACAGTCATATCTATCTTGGATAGACCTCAAAAGAGAATCGGTCCTTCACTTCAGACTTGTCTCAACAGATTCCAAGTAAAGATCTTGTGGAAAGTTTAACGAATCTAGCATTCGTTACTACTGCAAAAATACTAGTATTTAATCCCTTTCTCTTGGTTAAAGTTTTATCCTTACTTGAACTTTAATCCTATATGAATATATTTTTATATTTTTTTATCTTTTTATTTGCATGTTGCAAAGTTTTTTAGAAGACCAAAAAGAGTTATCCGCTTCAAAAGAGTTTTACTTTAGATTTGGAAAAATCTCTTTCTTCGCGTTTTGTAATTACCATAATCGGTTTTAATTACATAATCTGTTTTAAATAGATTAAATTTAGAAACTTTATAAATTTGTTCTTTATCAACTTTAGGAATTTCCCATTCATCAATTGCTTAACTAAAATCTTGCAAAATTAATTCATTTCTATTTATGACTCTTTTAACTTCTGAGTTATCTGAGTCTTCAGATCTATTACTACTAGCCGATCTACATAGAAAAAGATCCATTTTATAATATACGATAAAATTTTTTGACTACCTGGTTATACCCTTCCTTGTTATACCCGTTAGATGCCACTCACATGGGACTTACTCATGGGTTCAGTAGGCGTGGGTTCAGTAGGCAAAGCCAAAACCTTTTATTATATATCATAAACATAAAAGAAGACTTTTTATTGTATATCTACCAAAGACAGTGATAATGAAGGCTCTGATACCAACAAAACTTAAAGACTTATTGCCTTATTTAAATTTTACAAAAAACTTAAAGACTAAATTTTTAAAACAAAACTAAGACTACAAAACCAACAAAACCTTATATATATATATATTATATATATATATATATATATATATATATATATACTAATATATATATATATATTATATATAAATTGACTAAATATATAAATTGACTAAAAAAATGAAATTGGTTATACTTTAACACAATTGATTAATGATCTAAAAAAAAGGCACTTTGGGAGAGAATGATTTGCTGTGTTGCGATGTAATGTTGTAATGAATTGACCAAATAGATATATCCACGTATTAGTTTTTAATATTAATTATATTTAGAATGGAATGAAAAGATAAACATTTTTTGACAATGATAAAAGAGGAACGAGAGCCTTTTGGACAATCTCTTGCCTTGCTTCACAGCAAGCATCTATTTACATTCCTCCAAAATCAGTTGATTTGAAAGAGCCCTCTGCTTAAATAAAATCTTGTTTATATAACTATTCGGGAAAACATGGACTCTGCAGAGGAAAAATAAAGGAAAAAACAAATTTGAACTCTCGATTCGAGTCAAACTTCCCTGGCTCCAATAATTTAAGGAAACAGAACCTAATGTGTTTACGAATTTGACCAAGAGAGTAGCTATTCCACCATAAATCTATTAGAACTTCTGTATAACAACAGAAGATGCTATACCAGCCTCCTCTATTGTCTGCTCTGGATCAGTTAGTTGTTTAGGAGGGAAACCCATTGTCAGCAATTGGTAGTTTCTTCCACCTACTGGTCTAGATGCCTCAATAAAGGCACGTATATCTCTGATAGTATGGTGCAAGTTGAAGCGTGAGACCATGCGGGTGCCATCTGCTAACCTAAGCTGAATTGAAGTAGTTGGTGATGATGAATCTACAACTAGACCTATTGCTGGTAATGGAGCTGCCTTCAATGAAGTGGGAGAAGTTGGGGCAGTGGTGCCACTGCTGCTACCTATAGTTCTTCCAACACCTTGAAATGGAGTTTGGCGTCTCTCTGGTTCCTGCATAAAAAAATGAAGATAATAAGGGTAAACAATAATGAAAACAAAGAAAAATAAATAAATATGGAGACACAAAGTACGCACAGAATAATTTTCTTCCCGCCTTATGAGATCAAGATGGACCTGAGTCCTCCTATCTGCTGGCTCGAGCTCTAGGGGACACTCGGACTTCTTGATGCTCTGCATTATGATACAATAAATCATAAAGAACACAATTATACTAGCGACTACGCACAAGAATCACATAATACCTAACCCTTCAATCAAATCATCTCAACATTGCCTCTAACAGAAGTTGGAGAAATTAGAATTTACTATGAAATTAAATTTATCCCTAACCAAAAGTTTAAGCTAAACCAACCCAACAACATTCATTTTACCATGAAAAATTTTCCACCGAGAAGTCAAACCAGATATGGGCAGATCACTGTTCGGGTCCAATTAACATGCTGCAATATTTAAATCAAATTATCATGCTGTTTCATCTGACAAAATTTGCAAATCTAGCAGCCAGACCAATCATAATATTGTGGTTTGGCATTAATTACATTACATCTTTAGACAAGTTAAACGACGTGGATATATGGATATTTGATATTCCTTACAGCCTCAATCCGATTTCTTTATCCCTTTATGTAATATAGCATAATCACTAACAATACATGGTGATTTCAAGTTATCACCAAAAATAGTCAAATATTACCTCCAAGAAGGATGCATTAGCAGGATCATCAAACCTTCGCAAAGGGCCATCATCCACAGTAAAACCATTCCTCCAAAGAGTGATGGTGTGATGGACAGGCTCAGGCGGTTGAGGAGCAGAAGGAACTGTCTCACCTGAGAGTAATCTCCCAGTTCCAGTGAAGCTTATTGAACTCGACGAAGATCGAAGGTGATCAACAGGTCTTTCCACACCTAAATTTCTAGCTTGATTGAAAACAGCATCTGCATCATAATGCTTGGTAGGGTCTTGGACTAGCATTCCGCTGAAACCAAAAGTAGAAGATATACCAACAACATATGAATAAAACAATAACACCAGCACTCATTCAGATATAGTAATTTATAAAAAATATGTAGATTTGGTGTCAAAGACAACTCACAATCAAATAAATATATGGCTGAAAACATAATTTATTTTCGCATTCTCATCTTATAACAAAAAGAAAAATTATTATTTTCACATTCCTCGTGTACAGAAGGGAAATTTAATATCATGTTACAAGAACAAATGCAATTGGCATTCGGCTCATTAGGGCAACTGAAAGAATACAAAAATGGGACTAATCTATCCTTCAGAGGAATTCTCGTAACAAAAAAGCTTTTTATCGGTTTTCTTAGATTAAAAGTATTCGCATTTGAATGAATTCACTATAATTTAAGCTTTATCAAACATCAAAGACACAATGCCAACAACAAATACTCAATTCCAATTGAGTATTGCTTGAACGTGAATATACCTGTTAGGATCCGCAATTAAGTGTTGAAGTTCAACAATTAAACAAATTCTTTTGTTAATCAAAATTTAGCAAGAAAGTTACCTTTTCTCGCCACCAGTGTAATACTGCTGTGGTTCATAATCATCATCGTCATCGTCACTCCCCGACCCCGCCTCAGGCTCCCGATTCAGATCAGAAAGTGTACGGATTCCCACGCTCTTTCTACTCTCACCACCGGTAGCGGCCCTAGCCGGTTTCTTCCCACTCGATCGTAGCCGATACGGAGCTCGAGAAGGAGCTGGAGAAGGGGAGCGAGAACGAGAGCGTGAAGGAGACTGCGAAGGAGAGTAATTAGGAGACTGAGACTCTGACGGCGTTGAAGGAGAGGATGAGTTACCGGCGCGATTGGGAGGAGCAATTGGAAGAGAGGTTAAGGAAGGATCGAGATGATTATTACCACCGTAGTTGTCCAGGAAAGTAGAGACGGCAGAGTCGAGATTAAATTGATGACTCTCTAGGAAGAACAGGGCTTCTTCTTTGGAAGAGGAGGTGATCTCACAAAAAGAATTGATCATAGCAGTGTTTCTAACGGCGTCGGTTTCGCTGAGATCGTACTTCGCTTCTGTTGTGTTGTCCATTGGAGCTTGTATTGCTTAAGCCTCTGGTTTCTTGATAGTTATGCTTAGGAAAAAGGGTAATTTATTATTTAGTCCCTCAGGTTTTACAAAATTAACCAACTAATCCAAGATTTTGCCAAAATATCTAGCTAGTCCCTCAGGTTTAACTCCTGTATTTCGCTTCCTTGTTGTGCTTGTCCCATTGGGAGCTTGTATTGCTTAAGCCCTCTGTTTCATTGATAGTTTATGGCCTTATGAGAAAAAGGGTAAATTTAGTTATTTAGTCCGCCCTCAGGTTTTTACAAAATTAAACTCAAACTAATGCCAAGGATTTTTTGACCAAAATAATCTAGCTAGTCTCCAGGTTTAACTCCGTCTAATTAAAAAGGGTCCTTCCGTCCGAAAAATTGGTTTTTTTCCGTTAATTATAGACCTAAAAGACTTAAAGGAGCGCACCCCTCGGTCAGCATGACGTGGACCATGAAGCGAAAAATTATTAAATCTAGTCCCTCAGGTTTTACATAATTCATTTCTACTAATCCAAAGTTTGCGCAAATATCTAACTAGTCTCATCAGGTTTAAAACTCTGGTCCTAAGTTGAAAGGTCATTCCGTCCGAAAAACGTAGTTTTTTTTCGTTAATGAAGACTAAAAGACTAAAACATCCCCTTTCATTAGACTGACTGTGGACGAGTATGGAAGCGATACCATCGATATATCTAGTTTTTGTTTTCCCACTTTTGTTCCTCCCATGCCATATGATATACCTAGTGTTATCTTTTTGCCAACAGATAACCTGTGCCATTTAAATATTAAATTATTCATAGTTCAGAGTTATGAAATTTAATAATGAATATAGGGTGGCAATAATAATTACTTTTTTTTTATCTGTAAATAACTATTAATTTTAGAGTCCGGTGTTTTCTTCCGTAAATATCTTTGTTTTTTAAGAATATTAATGAGTAATTACCATTTTTTTTTTCATTTTAAATCCTTATTTATATTAAATTTAATATTATTTTTTAATACATTTTCAAAAAAATCATATAAAAACAATCTCCTCTCTTATTTTAGTTAAAGCGTAATAAAAATTAATTAATATTTTGTTATAATTTTATAAGAATAAATTTCTTACTCTAATTACCGATTAAAATTAAAAGTATTTAAAATGAATAATATGGAATACTACTTTGTTTTTCCTTTTTTTAGTCCATTGTGTATCAATGAATAATAGTAATGTTTCCTTGATATAAAATCTTGATATTGAAATATGAATATAATAGAACTTAATGTTTATTTACTTTTTTCTAAAAAAAGAAACTAATGATGATAATTGGGGTAAAGAAGAAAAATGAGGAATATTTACTTTTTGGAAGGGGGTATTTTACTTTCTCATGATTCCACATTAAAATTTAATAATATGTTAAATTAGCAACATCAAAAAACACTCTAAATCTTTTGTTATCACTTTTTTTCAACAATACTAGTCCTTTGTTCATAATACTGTGTCAAGATTTGCAGAAAATAATTTGTTCTAAAAAATATTTGTCTAATTTAGTCTAATACTTGTTTATATTTGCGGGTTTTAAGGAAGTATTAAATATTTTTCTCTTCATATTTACCCTTTTGTGTATTGAAATTAATAATTATTTAAAATTCATTTCACACTGATATTTCTTAGAGAATTAATATTAAATTAAGTAGTAATATTTGTCAAAATTTAATTCAATAACATATTAATTATAATTTATACCAAACTTTAATGACAGTTTTTAAAGGAACATGAAAAAATTCTAAATTGTGACGAAAGTAGTTATAGAATGGAAAATAAGTAAGTATTTTTAGAGACATACATCTATATTTAGGATGGTTTTCCGATGTTGCAAAATATTCATAATCTAAAACTAAACCGTAACCATTTAAGAGAGAAAAATGATTATGTCTCCCATCTGACGTTTGATTATGAACACTCTTCAATTTTGCCCCATTTTTTTAAAATTTAGCTGAAAGCTAATTTTCCTGCTCGTCGTGAGTTAAGCTTAGTCCTATACAAGTTGTAACAATGTGCATAAAATTAAAATTAGGGGAAAAAGTTATTTATTTTTATCTTTCCTCCGTTTATACAATTCCCCACTCCCTTTATCGGCTTTATAGCTCGCGTCCAGCGTCAGCTAGGAAGAGGTATTTTAGTCATTTTAGTCTTTCAAATTAACGGAAAAAATTAACTTTTTCGGACGGAAAGGACTTTCAATTAGCGGAGTTAACCTGAGAGACTAGTTTATAAGCATATTCCCTGCGCGGCAAAATTTGGGAATCAGTTAGATAATTAATCGTAAAACCTGAGAGGGAACTAGATAAATAGATGTTAATTCCTTATAGTTCCAGCGGTCAGTTTAGGGAGGGCGTGTTCTTCCAGTCTTTTAGTCTTTTAATTTAATGTTTGAAAAAAATTACACTTTTGTCTGGGATCGGAAGCGATCTCGTGGTGTTATTTAATTTAAGACGGAGTTTAAACCTGAGGGACTCAGGGCTTCACGCATTATTGTGTTACGCGCAAAACCTTAGATTAGGATATGAGATTTAATATGGTTTGTAAAAGGCGGAACCCTATAGAGGCGACACTATTGGCTATAATATAATAAAATTTTCACTCTAGAGAGAAAGAGACTACAAATTCTCCCGTACCGCCTTTGGCGCCCGGGGATGCCAGGGTGTATTAGCAAGGTGAAATCAAAAAAGGTGGAAGAGAATAATCCGCCAGTTTGTATTTTAGTCTTTTAGTCTTCAATTAACGGAAAAAAATTAACTTTTCGGACGGAAGGACCTTTCAATTAGACGGAGTTAAACCTGAGAGACTAGTTACATATTTGCGCAAAATTTGGGATCAGTTAGATAATTATGTAAAACCTGAGGGACTAGATAATAATTTTTCCTTATAGTCCACGTCAGTTAGGGAGGGGTGTTTTAGTCTTTTAGTCTATAATTAATGAAAAAAATTAACTTTTTGGACGGAAGGACCTTTTAATTAGACGGAGTTAAACCTGAGGGACTAGCTAGATATTTTAGCAAAACCTTAGATTAGTTGGTTAATTTTGTAAAACCTGAGGGACTAAATAATAAATTTCCCTAGGAAAAATAATTCGACGTTGGCGTGCCAGTGTGTATTAGCAGGTGAAACAAAAAGGTGAAAATACCATTTTGTCTTCCATTGATGTGGTTTTGTTCTATCGGTCGCTGGATCAATTACAAACCGATTATTAACCCAAACTATTCAAACTTCTATTAATTATATATATTCTAAAACGAGGTAGTTACACTGTTCATCAATTGCCTAGCTTAGCTACTTATATCTTTCGGTATTAAAAAAAAATAAGTTTTTGGATTTAGAGTAGTCGTGTGTGTACGTTGTCTATGCAGTTAGAAGTTATGTGTTCGAAACTGGTGTATGTGTATTTTGTTTTGATTTTATTTTTTTATTGTATTTGTCAAAAGTGTCCAAGTGATTTTGTTTTTTCGTGCTCTGTTTTCTTTTTCTAATTGAAAGGAAGTATTTTTTTTTTATTTTTTTTAATTTTTTTTAAATGGGTCTTGTGCTCTGTGAGTTTAATTTTTTTGAAGTCAATATTTATTTAATTTGTGTTGCAGTGATCAAAATCTATAGGTTCTTACGGTGTAGGTTCAGCTTTACACAGTTACTATAGCCCTCAAATGGGAGTAATTTTGATTTTCCTGGTATCATAAAAACATGTGTTAATAATTTGGAAATGAGAGTTTCTAATGCAAGCTGAAATATTCATGCTTGCTTGTGGAGGTGACATTGTGAACTTAAACATAATCAAATCAATATAACAAAAATCAGTTATATTATGTTCTTCGCTGCGGGTAGGATAGAGAAAAGTTTGAAAGAGAAAAGAGGAACTCAAAAACTTCGATTGAATTAATTTATTTTGTTTTTTAGGATATAATTTTATTATTTGATACTTCACAGGTTATTTTTGATAAAGACATACTATCAACCATGCAAATGTAATAGTATGATTTTTGTGTTATTTCTTTGTATAATCATTTATATGTATTTAATTAGAGATTTATATTAAATGGATAAACTTTTCAGCATATTTCATAATAATTGTATAGTACATTTTGTATGTATATAACTGGATCAAATAAAGAATGGTTATTTTATACTGATTTTTAAAACATATTCTCTAAGACATTAAAAATAAGATTTATGTTCTTAATCTTGATTTAATTAATATGAACAAATATATATTACTTTGTGCTTTAATTTATTAAAGAGTGAATTTCATTTATCGAGACAATAATGCTCGGTGAATTGACAAAGACAACTTGTGTTTGTGAAATATTAATTAAATATAGAATTCATGTCTTGGTTTAGAGAATGATGATACGCTTTAAGTAAACTTATAAGGTTTCATTGTGCAAACCCTGTTGTGGAATTTTAATTCGACACATGAAATAAGTTACGCGACGATATTAAAAATTAAAATTGTTATTTAAATAAATTGTCAGTAATTTATTTTATTTGATAAACATCTGTAATTTTTACATGGGAACACAAATTATTATGTTATTGAAAATTAAATTAATAAGGGGTCGCCCTATTTTTCTGTGTCTGAAATAGTAATTTATCAATCTGTGAATAGTACTACCAGTCCAGGAATCAATATTATTTCAGTCTGAAAAAATTACTATTTATATTTTATATTTTATTTAATTTTTGGAGCATGTATGCATCGTTTTGGTGGGTAGTAAATTAAGTTATGAATTTGTTTGGAGATATTTACATAATTAGTGAATAGTGAATTATGATATTTTATTAATTAGAAACTTGGAGAAATTATTTTGTGTAGTAAATTTAATAAATTATGAAGGTGATTGTAGTTGAATAATAGTAACCATTGGATGTGATTACCTTGACTCAATCTTCACCCTTCATTAGACAACTTCCTAATTAAGGAAGTTGTCTCTAATTACAATTTTGCCATCCATTAGCATAAAATCACTATCTTTTCATGCTT